ACTGACCAAAGGAAAGTGAACCTCGAAGAGGAGCAATTAAGTCCGGTAAAATTCACACCACGAATGCTGAAGCACAATGTCCAATTGGTGTGAAACAATACACAGGACTTCACTCAAACTTTTGAGAAACTGTCCCAACAGGAGGTAACCACAGTATGCTCCGTAGATGGTTCAGATACAAATATATCCCACAAATAGCGCTGAGATCCACGAAAATTCGCACAAGAAGCGCTGAAAAAAACAGGGATAATAATATTCTAACTGTTGTGAAACAAAACACTAAAACTTACTGAACAAACTTTGGAGAAATTGTATCCACAAGATATGAAAGTGATGTCACACCGTCGAGTGACCAAAGAAGTTAAGAAAAACACGACAGATCCCAGTCAGAGATGAGGTAGGAAGAAGACGGTGGCGATGGATTGGACATACTCTCAAGAAGGCAGGCAGCTGCATAACAAAGACAGTTTTGGATTGGAACCCACAGGGCAAGAGATCAAGGGGAAGACCTCGTGGAACTTGGAGAAGAATCACAGAAATCGATGCACAGAAAAGTGGGAAGACATGGAATAACATCAAGAGGCTAGCCCAGGATAGAGAAAAGTGGAGGGTGTTTGTCCGTGGCCTATACCCTGATGCAGGGTGAGAAAGGCAATGGTGATGATGACTAGCGGGCACCTCCTTCTGTCCACGCAGGCTCACCTGAGGAACGATACACCTCCTTTGTTCCCTTACACGTGGGCAACAACATGTTCTTTGTCGATTTAAAAACTTTTCTGACGATTGATTCTCTCCCCCCATCCACCCAGGTCACAATTTGATTTCCATCTCTCTCTCTCTCACTCCCCTCTCTCTTTCTCTCTGTGTCTCTCTTTCCCTATCTCTGTCACGCTTTGTTTTTCTCATTTCCTCTCTCGCTTCGCTCTATATCTTTTTTTTCCTCTCTCACTATCTCTCAGTTTTAAAGCATCTGTAGTATACTCGCACATTATATGCCGGGCACGTTATTTACATAGGCCTACAATACTTTATTATGTCTATGTCAAAGACTACTGCAAATTTTCAGTACACACACACACACAAACAGAAATAATGAGAGAGAGAGAGAGAGAGAGAGAGAGAGAGAGAGAGAGAGAGAGAGAGAGAGAGAGAGTGTGTGTGTGTGTGTGTATGTGTGTGTGTGTGTGTGTGTGTGTGTGTGTTTGTGTCTGAGAAAGAGAGATAAAGATTCAAAATGATTTATTGATTTGAAAGGCCTTTGGCCCATACATTCATATAGAGATAAAGAGAGAGATAGATAGATAGATGAGATAGATAGGTAGATAGATAGATAGATAGATAGATAGATAGATAGATAGATAGATAGATAGATAGATAGATAGATAGGTAGATAGATACAGAGAGAGAGTGAGTGAGATAGCGTTATTTTAAAAGCATTTCTTCAAGACCTGTCCCACAATGTGTTTGTTAGTGTCAGACAGCACGTCATGTCCAGGGTTAGGTACTCAAGACTGGTCCTGTATCCCTGCAGAAGACCCTTCCCTTGTTTTTCTCTCTTTGTCTTCTATTTTCTTGTTATTTCTTTCTTATTTTCCACAAAATCAAATCCACGTGCACTCGAGGATTCCGTGGTAAAAAAAGGTCAAGTCGTCACTTTTGAATGCAGGAGGCTAATAATCCAAGAAATGCGAAGTGATACATATCCACAAAGTCATAACAAACTTTCTCAAAGTTGCTGTTACAGAAGGTGACAGTTGAAACACCCAGAATGAGACTGAAATGCATACATGTGCTAAGTAAAAGGAGCCTTTTTGGGATGCTTTCTCGGCTTTTCACGTGGCACGGTGACTGGGGTGACCAAACGTCACGCGACAAAAAATAGTACGTAACCAATCGGCGCTGTAGATTAACTCTTTAGAGACGTAGTGGACACATAATTAATCCT